TTTTTTTAGATGCGTGCAGAAAAAGACTTACCAAAGCAAAGTGACTGGGTTAATCTTTTTCACATTTCCTTGGTTGGTAGATGCACCAGGGACCTGATTATAGCACTTAAAACCTGGAAAAGTTAGATTTTCACAATATGTCACCTTTAACAATTTATCAGATGTAAAAGCATCACAATTTATAACAAATGCTTACATGCAGCAGTAATGGGCCTTTTAGTTCGTAGTAGCAATCAAACAGTGTGTGTGGATCTGGGGGAGATAAACCAGGCCAAACTGTTCAAATATGTACGACTAAGCGTGGGCTGGGTGAGATTTGTGCCCTCACTACAGCAAGCCAACAGCTTCTGAGAATGTGTTTGTTTGCCGTCAAGGTCAGGGCCACTAATCAATGTCAGTATCTTTCAACATTTCCCTTGGAAAACGATCCAAAGAGGAGTTTGGACAGTTGTGTACCCCTAGCTGTGGTTTTTGTGCAGCATTGAGCTATCAAAATATTTTGTATAGTATTATTTTTCTAGCAGCAAAGCTGCTAATCCTCATTCCTCCAGGAGAAATGGAAAAACCTGAGAGATGGCAGGCACTAAATGGTATGGAAGCTACTATGGAAACCCTAGTGCTCTACGATAACCTTGTCTTTGGTTTGTTTGCTGCTTATAGCAGGGAGAAGCAGAGGAAAAATCTTCTTTACTCCTCGGTTTGACTCTCCTTAGTGAAGATAGTGAGGATCTCACAAGACTTGATAGATGAGCTGCTTAATTTCACAGAGGCCTCTGTGGAACATATGCCTTCCTGATCAGCCATAACCTATAGAAGACCCTTACAGAACAACCCTTGCATGTTATTATCCCAAGTATGATGCCAATTGCAAGTCAAACTTCTTTTGTTGTTTCCTGTATGTTTTATGACGCTTTCAAAGTGAAATGTCCAGTGAGTGGCACTAAAAGCACCTTCAGTTTTTATATATATATATATATATATATTTGTTGTATGTATCGTGGCAGTTTAGAAATACCATCTACACTAAACCCAACCCTATACCTTACAATGTTGAAACGTGAGATAAAAACACATCTGATGAAGCAAACATGCCACTTTCGCTTGCTTCTGCAAGCTCTTTTATTGAGGCCAATGTTTCACAGGACTCAACCAAATTGCTTCATATCTCAAGTGCCATGCTAAACAAGGTGAGCTACCAAGCAAATTTACTAAGAAAAGTCATACACATGGAGCAGATTATGTGATGCAAAAGTCACAATGTATTGTTTACAAATCATGCATTATAATAAAAGTGTTTTAGGTCATACCTTGTTATTGTGCAAGGAATAAAAGTTGTTGTAATTGTCTCTAGTGTTCATTTTAATTGGAAACGGCCGTGAATTATATGTATAGGGATGTTTTTGGAATTTTACAAAAATGTAGGTAGATGCACAGGTTTCTATCCTACGTTGGTGTATTTTATTAAGTACAGTAATTCATTGCAGTTCAAATAAAAAATATTCAGATATTTTGAACATGAAATACTGGTGCATCTAAACCATTTTTTGTACAAACTTTGAAAACCTTTTTTTTTTTTTTTGCACATGAAAATACAGCCAAATAAAACCAAGTCACTGTCATGCTATTTGTAGGAAACCAGAATGAGTCGTTCAAACAGTAGAAAGACAGTACAATTATGCTTCGTATGGGTGAAGGGGTGGTTGTGGATGTGAGCTCCAATCAGGATGTTGTATAGCACGACTATGATACTGTATGAGATTGATTTACACACACTTGCCAGACTATTTCTGCTGGTATGAGGGATGTTGGAAGTGTCCAGTGAACTGACTCTCCATGGCTAAACCAGTGTACTTTGATCTGATCTCTGTATGTATGTGTAAGCATACAGTACAGTGGGGTCTAAAAGTCCAAAACCACATTGAAAATCTGTGATTCAACAATTGATTTAAGCCTGGAAATCAATAGAAGATAATATAAGAAAGAATATAATTACTTCAGTAGAAACACATTTCTGAGAACATTGGACATACATATTGAGAAAATATATGATCCAGGAAAATGTAATGCGAGCATGATGAGACTAACATTGTCTTGTAAATTGTAGAGTATACCAAAAAAAGGACAGAATTAATGTAACATGGGGTTTGGGTTTTGTTTCACGTTCATTGTTTTCATGTCTTTTATTTTGTCGTTTGGCCACAGTCATGTTCTCTGTCATGCGATTCCCTTGTTTGTGTGTTATGTTTCGATTGGTTCCTTGGTTCATGTGTCATGTTCTCATTGGTTGTCTTAGTCATGAGTCTTGTCTCTCATTAGGTGCGTTCGACTTCATGCAGCACTGCGCAGACCGATCGGCGGCTGACTTGAAGCAGTGCATGCCGGTAAGAAATTTAGTCCGACTTGAACCGGCGCCGACGCCACGTCACTGTCACGTGTCAAAGTACCGCGATAGCATTTCGAGAGCAGCCGGCTGACTCAGCTGGCGCAGCTTTTTCAGAGCGACTGCAGGAGCGCTGATGACGACACAGCTGTTTCAGATTGGCCAAATTCACCACATGACAACAATGACGTGTGTTTCTAACATCTTCAAATCCAATACGGCTCATAAATCTGTGTTTTTAGAACAGTAAAAGCTTTTTTACTGTAGTCACAATGTTATATTGAGTCACGTTTATCATAAAACACTGATGAAAGCATATATACCCCCACTTTATTAGTATTTAAATAGTATATATTTACATTGAACTTCATTCTTGAACAGATGACGCTGTATTAAGCAATATATAAAAAGTGTTTCTGTTGCTCATGAAAACGTTTCTGAAACGTCTGTGTATTTGACAAATATAGCATTTTTTCACTTCATCTGTGAAAGAGTATGAAAACACCGCGTGAGCATCACTAAGGGGAGCAGAAAGTGTCCGGCTTGACGTGTCCGTTTTCAACTCCGCCCCTGACTGCAAGCGGCTACTCTCGTTGATTGCCGTCTGTAGCCGTGCTTCAAGTCGAATGCACCTATCGTTTGGTTCTTGTCGTGTGACCCTCATTGTTTGATATAAATCAGCCCTCATTTTGCCTTTGTTCTTTGTCTAGCTTTGAACTGTGTAACCTGCTGTTGGTGAGTTTGTGTCTCTGTTCAAGTCCGTTCATGCCAAGTCAAGTCAAGTCTGTTCAAGTCAAGTCTGTGTTTGTATTTTGGATTACTTTTGAATAAAAGCTGCACTTCGGTTCATCACAACTTTCCGTCCGGTGGACTGCTTGTTACAATTAAAATAGAATCTAAGAGAAGTTCATATAAATGGTCTGACAGTACACAATTTACAACAAATTTAAATGTGATTGTGGGTAGAGTAAAATATCTAAATCAGTTCTCAAACATAGTAGTCAGTTAGTTGAATAATATATACTTTATTATATATTGTATGTCATGCAGTGCATTCACAACGTATTCAGTCAGACCACATCAATATGCATTCCACAACCCATAGTTTGCAGACTGCAATAAACCTATGTAAAGAAGAATAAAATAAACCAAGCGTTTGATTTGACAAAATGTATAAAGAAATGTTGTGATATAAATGAATAAGCACTATTCATAGGCCATTTATCAAATAAGGAAACTGATCACATTATGTGAACTCCATATAACTCCATTTAAAATGTCAGATTTCTTTGCTTCTATTGAAGCACAAGATGCTGTTTGGATCATATTCAAATCATGCTGTATAATCTCTATAATCATCAGGTTTTAAACAAACTTGAGGAGTTGGGTTAAAAGTTTATGCAGCGTGAGTGTATGGAAGCCTTATGTTTGTCATGATCAAGTCCTCGACATTTACACTGCCATCCGACTTGGGGGATAGAAACATCTGCATTATAGAATAATGTTTGGCAATTGTTCACCAGAGAAATGGTGAGTGACATAGTGCTTTTCATGTGACTAAAGTTGTGAAAACAAGAAAAAACAAGACTGAAAAGATAAAGCATTGCCTCTTACAGCATATTTTAAA